ATCATATTTCATTAAGTGGAAAGAAGTTTCGGTACTATTAAGTATAGTAGAAAGCATAGAAGTAAATAACACAGAAAATTTCATTTAAGCATTTTCTTCATAAGAATAAAAACTAATTACATTATATGCGTCAACTCGATATGGACTTGTTCACTAATTATCTCTTTCTCGTAACCTGTTTAGCTTAATCGGTAACAAATTTACCAATTCCCTGCAAAGATTCAACTCGACTTTCATTACCTCAGCAGCACTGGGATAGTTGTCGCAATAGTCAACTACAAATTTATATGCGTTGTAACTGTTTTGCGTATTCTCCAATTGAATCGTTTTATCGACACTTACTATTTTATTGTATAATCTACCGAGATGGAAATAAGAGAATAGAGCTGATTGCATTACCTCGGCGGGGAATTCTGCCCCAGAATTCGAATTACGCATTTGTATCGAATTAAGGAAGGCCTGAAAATTTTTAATAGCACTCTTTGCCAAGTGATTAATTTTCGCTAATGCTTGCGCCGTTGGTTTCTCATCGGAGGATCGCAAACGATCAAGTTTTATGTCAAGAATATCAGAATACGTTTCTCCCAGTTCGAGCCAAATCTGCCTGCAGGCTGACTCGTAGTACTGAGGATTCAATTCCTTGATCACGTCTTCTAAAACATTTATTCTCCTCCTATGCATTTTCGCCTGTCTATCTTCGTGTTCTTCGAAGAACGACAAGTATTTGTACGCCTGTGAAATATCCTGCACGATTAATACGTAATCAGACGCGTGATTTTCTAAAGTGTAATACGTCTTAGCCTGCTCGAGCCATTTTAAAACGCTTAAGAAAACTAATCTGGCGTCATCGAAATCCAACAGATATTTGTCAGTTATTTGATTCGCGATTGGTTCTATTTCTTTTTCTAAAATATCAAACCTTAAATCACCGATCGTATTCAATTTCGATTCCTTATCAGTTTCATCATCGTCCTGTTCCGATTCGCTCCTTTGCAAAAGTCTTTGCTTTGATAAACTCATAAGTAAAATTCCATACTTTGCCCAACATCTTGCAACGTCGGCGCTTCTGTGTTTAAAATTTTCCCATTCCGCAGTGAGTGCCTCACTCTCCCCATTTTCTTCCGTTTTCTCTTTCAAGATGTTTTCATACTTTTGTAATATGTAGGACGCAGCCGCCAAGTGATGTCTGGCTTGTGAGAAACCTTCGTTCTCCATGAAATATTGTGACAATGTCGCTGAATTCAGGGCCCAATCTATATAATCTAAATCCTGCGTTAACTTATTCTCTCCTAACTGTCTGCGCAATGTCATGTGACAATACAACGCAGACTGACGATGATCTTTTAAAGAACCGTAGACCTGAGCTAAGCAATACAATGTTAAGGTGTGAACTTTTTCCAGTACATCTCTTGGACTCTGGTTATCTTTGAATTCTTCAATGCCAAGAATCTGGGCCATATTAATGACAGGACTCTTAGATGAATCATCGTCACCTGTTTCTAATTGATTTTTAAAATCATTGTATATTCTTTCAGCTTGAATTAAAAATTCTTTTGCCTTTGTCAACTGATTCCACTGAGACCATATTATACCCAACTGATTCAGCGCATTCAGTACGGGCAAAATAGCTGCCGGTTCGAGTTCTTTGTTTTTCAATAATTTGATACACTTCATAGATTGTTCTTCACCTGGTTTCAACTCTTCGGTGTCAACATGTAACATTCCAAGATATAGATGTATCACTGCGAGTGTTAAAATTCCATTCTCCTTTTCCTCTTCAGGTATGTCTTCTAAGATCTTAATCATCTTTGTTTCCATCGATTTCAATAAGTCGATAACTTGATATATGATTTTGTACGACACGTTTTCGGTGCTCAATTTTTTATGATCGTTCAGTAATTTTCTAATGTCTTTGAATTTTGCTTGCACGTTTGCGAGCGAGTCTTGAATAGAACTCGACTCCATGCCGGTTTATTAAATATATACTTATTATTTATTATGAATTTTTCCTCGAAGTTTGACGTTTCTGAATGTAAACACAGAACCACAGAACTGCATGGAACACTACTCGTGCATGGATGAATTTAGACGAGTCTCCACGAGTTTCAACGAGTTTTGACGAATCGCCTGAAAACTCCCACCACTCCCACTCTCCGATAAGAGCTTCTTTTTCACCATGAATATAGCTACGAAATTTCCCGATATCGATAGTTGAGTCGCCCGCTTGACGATTCTGTCAAATTCTGACGTTTTTGAGTGACTTGTGTACAGGCGAATCTTTGGAAATGTGAAATCTGCTACTACAGAGGAAATGAGGGTGAGAGTGGTCACGCCTGGGATTTCATGATTTCGATGGTATTTAGCGGTCATAGCATAAAATTAACTTTTTTAACCTTCAAACTCTTGTATTGCACATAATAGTTACTAGTCTAGACAATTACGACGCATTTTTTACTTTATGTAATTATTATTCTTACGATATTATTCTTCGACATTCGTTAATAATTCCGAATGACAAACAAGCGTTTGCTTATTTGCTATTTGTTCGACATATTTGGAATAGATCGCTTGTACTTTCACGAGTTTTCTCTACATTCTTTCGAGATGCGCTATTGTATTTGAAAATCTTAATGATTTAATAATAATAAAATTAATAAATCAACGTAGTTCTCAAACTAAAGGAATTGTCTGACTTTCGGCGTCTAAACCTTGATTTCCAAGCCTTCGTCAAGGTTCTCCCAGCTGCCGGTTTACCAAACATATTCGAATAAAATTTCAGTTGCGATAAAGAGATTCTAGTCCATTCACTGTTCATTTCAAAACGTTCTTTTATTTTATAAGTCACTGAATTTAGGAAGATTTGTAGTTTATCCTATTAATATTTAAATTCATAGAATCTATCAGACGTAAACGATATTATTTTATATGAATTCTTATCATCTAAGATTGGTAAAAGTCTAAAGAAGAAATAAATAACATTCATGACAGTATATATTTTAATGCAGTGAATACACGACAGTTTGTTTCGACATTCGGCAAAAAAATACATATGTAAATAATATATANATTAAATTAAATCCTTACGCAATTCTGGAAAATAACCAAGGAAATACAATCATTAATGTCTATCGAAACGCTTCTTAAAATTTTTGGACATTCTTGTCGACGCAAACAGGAAAAGAGCAAACGATACCTATAACATGATTTATAAAGAGAAAAAAACACTGATCACTCTATTCCAGAGATCAGACTGTAAAAATCAGTTACAATTAGAATTATTGCAGCGAGCCGCGCTTAAAACAAGATTTTTCAGTATCTGCGCACGATGATCATTGTCTTATTTTTTTTACATGAACGTCGTGCCGTTTTTGTTTCATCGAACGATCATTGAAACGCGAAAAGCGAATAAGAACAAGTACTTTTCGATTGTTAGTACGAATTGTTTGCGTCTTGTTTACATTACATTCTCGTTGAAATTGTCTTGTATACAATGAATCTCTACAAAAATGTTTCTTTTCGTTCCGTTATATGTGTAGTCAGTTCCGCACGCCCGGGAGAATGGGACAAAACACGTCCCACTCGGCATGCACTTTGTATATCTTAAAAATAATAAGTAATAACTGATAATTGTAATGTTACGCCAGAGCCCATTTCCGAACTCCGAATGTATTAAATCTATTTCTCGTCATTATCGTAATACTTAACAATTCGCATCGGTTTTGCTTCTATCATCTGTTTTCATTACTAGTCACGTGGCCCGTACGCGACGATTTACGAAGAAATAATTTTTAATCCTACGCTACTAAATTCCGGTCGCAATACATATTCTTATAACTATTCTTGTAACGTACCGTCCAAATTTATAACAACAAGCTTGGTCATTTGGTAGCAACCCTTTTGTTTGCCAACAGAAATGAACTTAAGGAACGAGCTATTTGACTTAAATGTTACGATTGCACATTAATTTTATGCTGCGCGTTTAATTTACGCACGTTCAACGAGAATATAAATTCGCGCGTAACAAAAACACATTAACTTAGAAGAACGTTTCGAAACGCTGAGTAAAAAATAGTACACAGGCCACGTGTCAAAATGAAAAACATACATACTCCCCTATATAAATATTGTATCGCTTATCGGCATACGAACAATGGCTCAATGTATACGCAAGCTGTCCCATATAAACCACAGGTTAAAAAGGGTAGATTCACGCGCGGAGCACACGATCTATCAATAAAAGAGAATTTGAAAATGAACCTACCTCATCAACTGATATATCTAATATTATTTTCAAAGAAACTTCGTGGGTACATGCAAAGATTCTTCTTTTATTCCATGCTCCTCGCGGGATCTCCCATTAAATTATTTCTCAATATGTATAAAACATTCTGCACTCTGCACTCTGTACTGTATACCATAATATAGGAGCTACTCGAAATCTAAATACAAATGGCTGAAAATGACAATAAATTGCGACGATTCGATTCAAATTTTAACTCGTTAAACTTACATGCTTGCACGCATGCTTGTACTGGCAGTGGGCATAGCTTCCCTCAATACTCTTGCATGTATAATTTTGTTTCCATTGATCATTTCGTTTTCACCAGAAGCTTGTTACTTCTTTGTTGATCTTACCCTAATTGCAATCGTTTATACTCCAGTAAGATTTAAAACCAAGCCTCTTAAAGGTGGTCAATACTACTAATCGGCAATTAAATATAATATATGTATATAACATTAATTTTTCGGCTCATTTCTTCTTTTTTAAGTTTCTCGAATTTTGGACTCGACTTTTGTACTTGAAGTTAGTGTGCTTTTCATAATCATCACTTTTTTGAAGAACGATTTGCTGGACCATTTCTTATCATGAACGATGTTAAGGCCTCTTTTAAGAAATAAGCTAGATTTTTTATAAAAATTGGTCAACATTTTATTGTTGCCTCAAAAGTGGCCTTAACGTAATTAGTGTTGAAAAATCGGAGATTGCATCGATAGATCTAATAAATTCGAATTTCGTCGCGCCAGATTTCTAAAGCAATTTAATAACGTAAACTAGATCAGATTTAAGACGATATAGAAATATCAAGAAAAATAATTTATTTATTTAATGTCAGTTGTTATTCGTTTGAATTCTCTATTTAGTACTTCAGCAGATACCGAGTAAAGACTCAAACACGATAATAAATATTAATGTAATGCCTTTTAAATATTTAGTTATTCTCTTCGTTTATCGATTATAACTATTTTAAGACACTTGTATTTATATAGAGAATAAAAAAGTGAACAGAATAATCTAGAGATACGAAATAAACAAAAATAAAATGTCATTTACACATTTATGTGACTGCGAGCTAGCATTCTTGTTTGGAACTGGAAATAATTATTTGTGGATGCTAATGAAGAATCACTTAAACATTTTGTTTAAACAAATATACGAGGCTAACGACGACGAAATTGAGCAATTAGGTGCAATATTTTCTATTTAAATATCGCTTTTATCGTATTGTATCAATACGTAATTGGAATTTCATTACTTTTTTTAAAAGAAGGAATAATTTTGTTTAGACTGGTATCAGTCTTGTTTGTTTGGCAAGAAATTGGAATCGTTCCTTAAACTGAACACAAAATACCATGCGATATACAATTATGAAACATGCACAATTCAACTCTCAAGATAGAATAAATTACTCGAAAGAAGCGATTCACTTTTTCGCGACAGTGGCATGGCCCTCGGAAAATCAACGCAGTCAATTAACAGAAAATTATTTCAAATTACATTTCAAATTCTATAAAGGAACGAGTAACATGGTCAAAACACAAATTGAATAATTTGATACTGTACAAGAGAAATATTCTAAAATTACGTGTTATCTTGCAACCACCCGGTTATATTCAACTATTTTTGCTACTAAAAACAAATTAAAGTTAACTGAATTATATATAAAAATTGTTTCGACCGTGTAAGTTCCAAGGCCTTTCGTAAACGGTGACGCTACTCGCGTCACAGTGACCCGCGATCTTCATTATATTTACATTAATCCGTTACAATTTACATACATACACACGCACACACACATATCTACACGTACACGTAATGTGAAATACGAAAGGATTACACGGAGCACGCCAGCCACGAGTCGATGGAGTCAGGCAAACCTTGTTCGTGTTCACCCTCTCTAATGACGTTTTCTATGAATAAAGTACGATCATCTAATATTTAAAATTCCTTGGACCGGTAGCTTTCATTTTAATTAAACGAGTTTCGTAATTAAAATTAATTTTCTGTAGCTTTCGTTTGAATCAACTTCTCTCGATATACGTCTCATAATAGCGTAAGGAAGTAAGTTGGCGACGAAGCGAATTGACGTTTCCTGTATAATCTTTGGCAGTTTATAAATGACGAATGTGTGATCCGCTGGCGAGCTCTAACAATAAGTGCGTTACGACGTCCAACCTGAGGCACGTGTAAAACAGTTCTCGGAACCAGTCAAAACCCGCGAATTAATGAGGCCACTCTGTCGGAATTTTATTGGACTGCAAAGTGTTCTGCATTATTTTCAATAGTAAAACTAGTGGACGTTGTTCTATTGTTTCGTTTAAGGCTTGGCGAAGGATATTCTCCAACCGCAACTTTCCTCAAACTCCTTACGATTTCAAATTATTGTCACCTGTAATTACCGATTAAGTAGATTCAGTAGTATTGTACTGAGCTTGGAGCGTTTTACATTTTAAAGACGTGGCGTGGAGGTTTGAAGAAAATTCAAATAAAGTGATAACAAACGTTCGGCGTAAAAACAAAATGAACTTGGATCGTGAGATTCCGCAGTGAAATTCCGCGGCAATGCGATTCCGATTCTCGGTATGAAACTCCTTAGTCAATTAGCGATGGGCTCGTGTCTCATGTAATAGTTCCTCTCGCTCATATATATTTTGCATCCAAGATTTAAAAGTCTTAAAAGCTTTGAATTTTTCGTAACAACGTCAAAGTTTGTCAATAGAGTCGAAACAGTTCAACAATTTTCAGTAACATCGAATATTAATTATTATCTGCATTCATCCAACCCATCGCTAATTCTGAACGCGTATCTAACGCTACACACTCCCATAGCCGCGAAACTCGAATCGTGTCTCACCGTGTGCATGAAACTGTCACTGGTTCAAGGTCAGTTTCCTTCGAAATCCTCCACTATGACGCTTTCGCGAACTGAATAACAGAACTCTGGCGTTGCGAGGCGATCAATCCGTTCCGTTCGATCTCCATCGATTCCAGGATCATTTTGCACCGCTTCCTCGGGGGAAGTATCAACGTTTCTCTTACAGGAATCGCCAGATCGAGGGGATCCGGCGAGGGAACGGGACTCACTGGATTGCTGCTCGGTGGAGTCAAAATCGGGTCTCTTTCGGCAGCTTCGAGGGCAGCCTCCACTCTTCTGCGGGCATCGTTACCGGGCAGATTGAGAAGTGACGAACAGTCACTGTAATCGTTACTCTGAATCCCGAAACTAGTGTACGTCGGCGAAGCGTCCGGGCACAGAAATATCATATGCGGTGGCTCAAGAGGAACCACCGGCGTTGATTGGTGACATCGGTCCTCCTTAGGCACCTGAAGCGGTTGCGAATACTGCTCTCTGGAATACATGTAATATGGAAAATCCTGTGGAGTGTTGTTGTAAACAGCAGTGTCCTCGTTCGGCTCTTCAGTCTTGAGCTCCTCCTTTTTTGTGCTCAAGCCGTTCGAAGGAGAAATCTCGATCTCCGGCTCAATCGGCGAGTCTCTGGGAGAACCGACGACGGACGAATCCGAATGAGTCTTTATGTGCAGCTCCATTGTTTTCTTCGAGCCGAAAGTCTCGTGACACAGCGTGCACTTGTAGACCTTTTCACCGTAGTGAGCAACCTGAAACATTTTGACCAATGTAATTAGATACCTATCGCTCCTAAACTTTGACGAAACAATATATTATCGTCACGAACCTGGTGCAGCTTCAACACGTGATTATATCCGAAGGATTTTCCACAAATGTCGCAGGTGTACGGTTTTTCCCCGGTGTGAGTCCGCGTGTGGACTTTCAGTTGCTTCGAGCAGGTGAATCCCTTGCCGCAGGCCTTGCACACGTACGGTTTTTCTCCGGTGTGCGTGCGCATGTGTATTACCAACTGGCCGCTCTGAATGAACGTCTTCGAGCAGACGGTACACTTGTGTGGTCGTTCCCCGGTGTGGATCCGCATATGCCGGTGCAGCTTCCCGCTGTGCTCGAACGCGCGGTTGCACACGTCGCACTTGTACGGTCGTTCCTTCGTATGAATGCGACGATGAACGCTGAGATTCTCCTTCACGGAGAACGATTTATTACAGTACTCGCACTGGTAGGGTTTTTCACCAGTGTGCGTACGATAATGCCTGGTCAGCCGCGCGGGCACCGCGAACGTTTTTCCGCAGATGTTACAACGGTAAGGATCCTCGCCTTCCTTACCGTGCGAGCGCAAGTGGCTCTGGTACAGGCTCTTCTGATCGAATGCCTTTTGACACAACATGCACTGAAACGGTTTCTCTTCGACCTTCAGCGCCTCGACGCCGCACGCGGGCGACGCGTACACGCTCAAATCCGGGCTACACACGAGGCTCTTTACAGAGTTCAATGTCACTACCGTCGGCGAGGGCTCGTGCTGCGAGCATCCCCTCACGGTTGGCATTTTGCTGCTCATCGTTGCGCTATTTGCCATTTGCTCCGTCTGATAGTGACCGATCATTTTTCGTTGCGTTCTATCTGAAAATCCGGGAAAATAACAATCAATCGGAGTGCCTCTCAAAAATACTAGACTTGTCATATTTATTGTCAAAGTATCATCGACAGACTGCGGACTTTTATGTAAAATTATATTTTGTATATAATCATAATCAATTTATACAGACTTATCATTTTTACAATTTCAGAATGTGAGACTTACATAGATTGTTTTATTATATACAACAGGTGCATTTTTACATGCCAATTTTCTGTAATTGGATAAAAATCTGCAGTCTAGTCATCAACATCCACGTATTTTTTTAAGAAGAAAACAATGGTCATTAATAATTATATTTTATTTGTAGTAATATAATTTGAGACAATAAATAAGAGGAACAACGAAAGTCAACAATACGCATAAGAGATAATTGCAGTAAAAAATAAGTTGATAAAAGAAGCTTCGAGCAAATTAAGCGTTACGAAAATACATATAAAGATAAAATCAAGCGTCAGCAAGCAATAATTTGAATAAGTCTAATGACGATATAAAGACAAAGATAAACAAACGCGAAACGCAGTTTTATTTACCTGTATAATAATAATAATAAGAATGATATATTTGTTTGTACTTTGGAAGACTATTTTCGTGAGGTAGATAGACATGAGGTAGATAGGAAGAAAATGACAGGGACGTCGCCCTACGTGTGAAGGCAACTATGTGCAAAACGCTTTGATGATGCGCGCCCCGCTCCGAAACGGTGGGGTAAAACGCGGCGGTCTATTCCATTCCCCACCGCTCGTCCTTTGCCAAGATCAAGAATAAAAAAAAGAAAGGAAAAGCGCCCACGAATCGTCCGACGCCCCGTGCGTAGACGCACGCGCACGCACACGTATCCTGCAATCCTTAGCCCGTCCCCCGATCCTACCCGACTTATGATAAACCGTGTATTATCGACGCGTGGACCTGCCTCGTCCGAAACCTTTTCATTCTCGATGCTTGGAAGGATATTTAAACTCGTAAGCTGAGAATGAATAACACAAACGTATTCGAACATAGAATGCTACGAAATACTGTGAAACGTCGTATATTTAATGTAATAATGATTCATTGCGTTAAATGTTAAAGAGGAAATGTGCCTTAAATGTTGCTAATTCATTTTTTAAATAAAGGAAATCATTATTACACTGCGGGTTTTTATGCAAAATAGAATGTTTAGCATAGAAGACTAAAGAGAATTTATATGTGCTTTATTCTTACTCATTAAATATCGTATCGTGCACAATACTTCTGACGTTTTTTATAATTTTGCATTTGAAACCAGTGTTCAAAATTCAGCATATTTATGTTTCTTATAAATGCATCAAAATTCGCAGTCTACTTATTATACATTTATTGTAACACGTTATAAAGGAAATCGATTCGATATAAAAATGTTTAAAATGTTACTGATTCATTTTTCAAATCAACATCGAATTAAAACGGTATCTGACCTGGCTATGAATTAAAATAGCAATATTATGTTTGACATTTTGCAAATAGGCAATTATTCTCGTTTTGAAGTTATATTAATCTGAAGTTAACATGTATTTTATAATTCGACTGGGGATTTTATACAATTCTAAGAAAAACAAATAAGCAGAAATTATATAAATGCAACATGTAATGTATAAATGCGGTGACCATCCGTTCTGTATTTCCGGGGACAGTTCTGTATTTCAGCAGTATGTCTCCGAAATGTTAATAAACACAACTGCAAATGTTCTGTATTTATTTTTTAGTCCCGTACTTGCATATTAAGGATGTAAGTATTGGCTTATAGTATTAAGTAAG